AGGAGGTGTTATGAAGCCCAACGATGGATTTGACTATATTAGAAAGCTCTCTCCACTTAACTTCAATCATTGTAGAATTATAGGCAAAGTCATGGATTTGAGGCGTGGCCTTTTGCCTACTGGTTAACAGCTACACAACATCCACTTGTCATTCAGTCGACTCAACCACGCCCCCATTGTGCAAATTTATGAAAATCTCCTTCATAAATCTCTTTCATAAATCTCTAAAAAAAAAATGGATGAGTTAAAACAAATTTCACCCCTGTTCAGTGTGCACCTCTAAACAGGGAGCGATTGATATCAAATTTCCTTTTTGAACCAGGCCGTAAAATGTTTTTATTTCTGGCTTTTGCAGTCAGCCTCAAGCAGACACTTGAGAAATTGCAATTTTTGCATTGGCTGATTTTTTTCAACACCGGGTGATACTGCTTGAATTTAACATTTTTATCAAAGTTATATATCCTATCCAGGAATGACAATGTTGTCTTCCACCAGTCATTCTTCTTCCTCTCTGTTTCCTCGGAGTGTCTATCAATCTCACTCCGAACATCCTGCTTCAGAAGGTTGTCCTGCTAATCACCTGTTTTTCCTAACTAGGACCTCTGTTGGGACAGTCCTCCAACATGTTCAGCCTTCCTAGGGATTGGAGGCACCCTGTTTCTCTGGCACCAGCAAAATTTCAAACTTTTGTGGAGTCAAACAAGAGTTTGAGTCCGCCTAATCCTCCTGCTCTTAAGATAAGAACCCAAGCAACCGAAACCCTTCTCCATATGCTCCCATTTTTAGAAGGAGTGTTGCAGTGGTCTTTCTTCTGCTGTCAGACTCTCATCCGAAATTTCAACATGGCTACAGAGTGTTACAAACTGAGCAGATAAACCTGAATATGGAGGGGACCATGCATGCGTCTCCTCCCACAACCAAGCCTCCTCATCTCAGGAATTAGTGGAGTTTGAGTATGAACACACAGCTCACAAACTAATCCACCAGATTGTTCCTTTTCAATAATCCTTTAGTCATCTAGTCCTGGCTTTCGTCTGTCCAGGCCTCTGTAGACCCCAGACCCTAAGTTTTAGGGAACTTTCCCGATCTTCAGGGATCTTCTGCCCCAAACCATGTGAGTCCTTAACAGGTTTTAAGAGCCCCTAATACTGTAAGTCCCCCCTTCTGATAGAATACAGTATGATGTTTTTTATTCCACAACTAAACTCATCAATAAACACATTTAGATTAGCATTTAAAAAAAGATCATTCTGGTTGTAGCCCATTTTAATTTAATGAACAAAGTCACTTACAGTAATGTTGAAAGACATGATTAACTTTTAACAAACCTCACATTTTAAATGCACTAAAACAAATGCAAAACTATTTACATTTTCTTTGTTTAATGATTTGCTTTTATTTTTTGAATGACATTATTTAATTTCGAGGACTCTGCTGCAATTAACCAATTCCCAATATTGCTTGGTTGAATTACTCACATTATAAATCTTTGGAGCGAAAGAGGGTAAGAGAGGGAGAGAGAGGGAGATAGAAAGAGATAGAGTTAGAGTGGAGCGAGAGAGAGAGAGAGAGAGAGAGCAAGAGAGAGATATAGTCTGTTGAGCTCAGAGAGGTTTATCTTCAGGTGAAGAGAGAAGAGGGGGAGGAAGAGGGAAAGAGCAGGAGACAGGAGGAGATTATAAAAGATAAAGAGGAGTACAGAAAAGAGAAAGAGAAGGAGGACAAAAGAAGAAGAAAAGACTCAGGAGTAGGACAAAAAGGGAAGAGAAGAAGAACACATTTTGATTTTATTGAAGGCATAATGAAGATTTTCAGCATTTTGGCAAGTGTTTGATACGATTATCAAGAAGACAAACTACAGACAAACATGTGGAGAGATAAACAGGTGAGTAACACTTTGAAAGACGCAGAGACATACTGAGAGAAAGACAGACTGAGTGTTTTCTGTATTTTTGTATGTGTTTATAGAGACTGAGAGGTGTGGAGATAGACAGATGTTAAAATAGCAGTACAGATAGACAGGTGTAGACACACTGGTGGATGTAATTAAGTCTTCTCTTTGAGCTGAAATTTGATTTTAAGATGCAGTTAAAATAAAACAAACAGTTTTTCCTCATATTTTCTGTTTTCATAGAGCCAGACATATATGGTGACAAACAGGTGTGCAAAGAGACAGGTGCCAATAAATTTAAAATAGAATAGAATTACTTTATTGATCCTAAACTGGGAAATTGTGGAAACTGGGAAATTGTGGAAATCTAGTCTCCATGATCTAAACTTTGATTTAAAGATGCAGTTCACATAAAACAAAGTGTGAACAAAGTGAAAACAAAGTGTGAAGGCAGACAAATGGATTTGGTAAAGTATTCTATGTGATCTGAAGTTTGATTTTAAGATTTAATTCCCATAAAACAAATGTTGTTCCCTGTTGTTTAATTGCTTTATAGAGACAGACAGCTGTAGAGATAGGCAAATGAACAGAAAGGGTGGATGGTAACACAGCTCTAAATGCAGACAATTATGGAAAGAGACAGGTGTAGAGACAGACAGGTGTTGAGATAGACTTATTAGACAGTCAGGTGTACAGAAATACAGGTTTAGAGACAGACAGGTGTGGTAAAGAACAGTTAAATAGACAGACAGCTGGTGAGAGAGTTGAGCTGATATACAGTCCGTTGAATAAAAGTACAGGAGTTGAGTCAGATAGGTGTAGAGACATAGGGATAAAGCCAGACATGTAGACAATGTATCTGTGCAGACAGATAGGGACACATATAGAGACAGACAGGTGTACAGACAAACAGTTGACAAGTTTACACCTGTCTATCCATTGTAGAGAAAGACAGGTGTAATGTCCTGTAGTATCTGTTTTCAGTGTCCACAGTTCAGTGTACAAATTCAGTGTACCCTGCTGTACACATAGTAATTGATGTTGCTTGACTTGGATACATAATGTTTAGAGGGGTACATTATACTGTGAGCACATTGTGTGTGAAAACATTAGAAACAGCTCTCAGTTCAGTGTATTACAGAGCAGCCAAAACAAATGTAAAATTCACTGGATTTAAAAATAAACCCTATAGGTGTGATGGCACATTAAGACTGTACAGGTCCTCCTAATACAGTGAGCACTGAGATCCTGTTTCAGGAAATCTGCCACACAAACTTTGTTTTAATAAAAAAGGAAAACAGGCAAAGTCTCTGAGTCTCAGTTTAATCATCTGTGATGATGTTCGTACACAAACCCACAGACAGAAATATAAGCAGACGGACAGACAGACAGACATATAGGCAAGCAGGCTGACAGACAGACAGGCAGGCAGGCAGGCTGACAGACAGGCAGGCAGACAGACAGACAGACAGACAGACAGACAGGCAGGCAGGCTGACAGATGGACAGACAGACAGACAGACAGACAGACATATAGGCAAGCAGGCTGACAGACAGACAGGCAGGCAGGCAGGCTGACAGACAGGCAGGCAGACAGACAGACAGACAGACAGACAGACAGGCAGGCAGGCTGACAGATGGACAGACAGACAGACAGACAGACAGACATATAGGCAAGCAGGCTGACAGACAGACAGGCAGGCAGGCAGGCTGACAGACAGGCAGGCAGACAGACAGACAGACAGACAGACAGACAGGCAGGCAGGACAGACAGACAGACAGACAGACAGACAGACATATAGGCAAGCAGGCTGACAGACAGACAGGCAGGCAGGCAGGCTGACAGACAGGCAGGCAGACAGACAGACAGACAGACAGACAGACAGACAGGCAGGCAGGCTGACAGATGGACAGACAGACAGACAGACAGACAGACATATAGGCAAGCAGACAGACAGGCAGGCAGGCAGGCAGGCAGGCTGACAGACAGGCAGACAGGCTGACAGACGGACAAACAGACAGACAGACAGACAGACAGACAGACATATAGGCAAGCAGGCTGACAGACAGACAGGCAGGCAGGCAGGCTGACAGACAGACAGACAGGCTGACAGACGGACAAACAGACAGACAGACAGACAGACAGACAGACATATAGGCAAGCAGGCTGACAGACAGACAGACAGACAGACAGGCAGGCAGGCAGGCAGGCAGGCAGGCAGACAGACAGACAGACAGACAGACACACAGACAGACAGACAGACAGACAGACAGGCAGGCAGGCAGGCTGACAGACAGACATGTAGGAGGCAACAGTAACTGAGGTTGTTTTCATATCCAACATTATTTCTCTGGAGGCTGCAGAAAGCTGTTCGCACACAACTTCACACACATAGTTTATATATTAAAGATATCTATCTGAACTTGGTTCCCCTCTGAGTCTGTTCTCAAGTATTGGATCATAATAAAAAGTGGTTAATGATGAGCAGTGATTCACAACAAGTGGCCTCTAGGACTACCTGGACAAGGAGTCTGTCCTATACTGTCCTCAGGTCTAAACTTACAAAGTCAAAAGAGACTTTGACTGTCCTCAGATGTGGTCAGTTATAGCCGGAAACTGATCAATCTGGCCAAAGTGGGACAAAGTCCAAATGTCCTCGGGTCTATCTGGATAAGGTCACAAGACCTTATGTTATTATGTTATTAGGTCTAGCTCACCTTACACACATCCAACATTCCTCAGGTTTAACTAACTAAGGTCTATCTGGACAACATTAAATGACTTCCAATTGTCCTTGTCCTGACTGAACTACCTTTAGGCCTAACTGTCCTCAGGTCTTACTGCCTTTATGAGGTAAAACTGTCTTCAGGTCTATTTAAACCAAGTGTGGCAAGGTCTACCTGTCCTTAGGTCTAACTCTCATTATCTGGACCAAGTCAACAAGGTCTAAATGTCCTCAGGGCTATCTGGACTAGGTCTCACAAGATGTTACTGTCCTCAGGTTTACCTCAATTTTTACTGCCATCAGGTCTTTTGGACTAGGTGTGAGCAGGTCTCTGCTCTATGCTGCTTGTCTGTTATTCCTGTTGTTGGTGTTTTTCAGGCTGGAAGTTGGCGAAGCATCTTCAGGGCTGACTGAAAGCTTCACCTGTTTATCATGACAACCACCTGTCTAAAGAATGTTGAGCAGAAGTGACCCTATGGATTAAAAATGTGGGAGGTGACTTTGAAATGTGACCTCCCAAGGAACTTCCAGTCTGTCTGACTGCCGGACCACCATGTTTCCCCCCCTCCCCTGCCTCCTTTGCCTCACGCTCCTCCTGCCGTCATTGGGCTGGTGTCAGACCGGCGGTCAATTCAATGTTTGCCGATCTCTGCGTGTCTCGGAGGCTGGACCAGGATGGGAGTTATACGCCTGTCAGCCTCCACCTGCCAACATGAAGGAGGTGATGCAGATCAAAGTTGACCCCCCCGGCATCACTTGCGGAAACCCACCAGAGAGATTCTGTACATTGGTAGGAACACACACTAAACACACACATTGTGGAACATTTCTCTCAGTGTCTTTCAAAGCTAACCTATATCTGAAAATATTAAAATGATCTCTGACCAGTTGTGTCAAATTTTAAATGTCAGCAGTGATTTTCTCGTGCAACGTTTTTTTCTTCTTAATTATGTTTATAAAAAGGTCAAAAGTCAACCCTTAAAGACAAACCTCCTTTTATGAACAGTTTTAAAAAAAAGAAGATTTTTCATGCTATAGCTATTAGTTTTACTTTTTACTGATATCATTTTAAAACAGAGACTGATTAAAGCACCAGAGTCATATACTTGTTGTGCTCTAGGATATGAGAGTAAAACCACTTACACATTTTATTTTCATATTAAGATTTTGTTTTTTGCAGAAATATCTGCAACTGAAGAATAAGGCTCAAACAGTCATACTCATCACTAGAACACCTCTGAGCACAGTTGGTTAAACAGTAAGAGTTACCTGCCCTATCCCATGTTTGTGATTATTCATATGCTGCAAACAAACAACTCTTTAATGTGAACGGGATGGTAACTGGTTGCTTAAGTGCTGTGTAGCGGCATGGCATGGTCCCTTTTCTTTAGCAGTTGGTAAGTGAGGCCAGTAGCATCAAAATATCACTGATGTGCTCGTATGAGAGAGCTTCATACTATAGTACCCTGGGCCAGTGAGTCAGTGCATACTCATAACTTTTTCAGCAGGTTCTAAAAGATAGGAGGGAACCTTTTAAGCAAAATGATGGCCAAAATCATCCCATAATGCTACTCTCTCTCTCTAAGCTGGTATCAGAAGGGACAGCTGATGATGTTCCAACATAATGTGAAGGAAATCAATTACCTTATATTAAAGATACAGTAATCACCTGTCAATCAATAGTGACCCTTCAGTGTTAGCAAGTGACCTCCTGTGGGGTCCTTACCCACAGATTTAACACACATAGAGTCCTGCTGTCTTTCTAATTGTCCCTTTGAGACACTGAAGTCATGTCTTAATTATTGATTATGAAGCAAAAATTAAATGTGAATTATTAATTGGAATCCCCACAAGACTAAAATGACACAAAACATAATAATGAGTCAGATACCTTAAAAAAGTAATGAAAGATAGTTATAGTTAAGGGCAGGATGGATACATTAAGTGTGCAAGAACACAGTGTTGTACACAGATGTGGTATGAAAGATGGTATTTTTTATTATCCACAGTTTGATGACAATGGAGTTTCAATGTGATATGGTGCATTAGAGTTAAATAATAAAATACAATTATTTAAATCTGTTAATTAACGTTTCTCCATAATGATGAATAAAAATGTAAATGAAATGTTTTATACTTGATCCTTGATGTTATTTTGATAATTACAATTCACTTGCTGTATTGGCTCCGATCTCTGAGCTGCTATGAGGAATCCGGAAGTCAATTTGAAGCCCTTCTGCTGTGAAGATGATTCTTTAACGAACATGCAGATCTCAGCAGAGAAAGACTGGTTTATCTCATTTGTAAGAGGAGTCACTTAGGAATAGTTAGTGCTGATTTAAGTCCTTTGAACCTCTAGTGTGACAGTTGGCAGCAGCAGCTAAAGTCTTTAACACACACACCAATCAGATTAACATCAGTGTTAATCTATCTCACACAAAAACACACACACACACACACACACACACACACACACACACACACACACACACACACACACACAAACACAAACACAAACACAAACACAAACACACGTAGTGTTGATCAACGTGTTTTAAACTGTTGTTTTTGACATGATTTTTCTGTTTGTATAATTCTGAAAGTCAAACAGGAAATTAGAAATTCAACAATTTTGAGACAACATTGGCTAACATGATGTTTGTTACTTATATGACATTGATATGACACCATTGTTTATCTATGGTTCTACTGTGGCTCTATCATTCATTGTTGTTTCATATCGAAAGGGCTGTGACATCATCGTAGGGCTCATTATTGTGGGCCTTAATTAATTGTATGTCGGTTATTTCTCGGTAGGTCTGTTAATGTTATTGTAGGTTTTTAATTTCTATGTATAGCAGCAACATCCTTGTAGGGATGAGACATCATTGCTGGGATGTAAAATCCTTGAACTGCTGTGTCATCAAGAGTGTTACAGTATGTGATTATTGTGGACCTTTTATTTAGATTCTTGGCAAAACAAGATTTTATTTCTTTCAGGCGATTTACTTGGTCATGTTTAATTTTACAACAAGTTTCAGAATTTAGATATCAACAAGCATTCACCAACTCCCAAAGCATCCTGCGGTGAAAATCATGGTAATACAGCTATATCTGACTCTAAATGAACACATAGGTTCTGTTTGTGTTTTAAATCCTGCAGGAGAACCCGTACCTGTGCAGCGATGAGTGCGATGCATCAAGCCCCGACTTGTCTCACCCTCCTCAGCTGATGGGAGACAGGGAGCGAGGGGGGCTCATCACCTACTGGCAGACAGTCACATGGTCCAGGTTTCCTGAGCCCCTATTGGCCAACATTACATTGTCCTGGAACAAGAGTCTGGAAGTTGTCGATGACATTGCCATCACTTTCGAGTATGGTCGACCAACCAGCATGGTGCTGGAGAAATCCCTTGACAAAGGTGAGGTTGAAGAGGGTTCATCAGTCATACATCTGCTGGTAGTAACATGTGATCTGAAATCTGATCATCGTTTTTATATAGAGGAGAAATATCTTAGTAATCAGTGGTTGTCTTTCAGGTGTAACGTGGCAGCCATATCAGTATTATGCTGATGACTGTCTGGAGGCATTTGGTATGTCTCCTAAACGAGTCTCCGAATTAGCTCCAAGTAACCTAACCAGGGTTATCTGTACTGAGCAGTACTCTCGCTGGGTCGGAGCCAAGGTGGGTAGCTTGACTTAATTCTGGTCATACTGGAAAATAGATAACACTAATTATACAAAAAAGTCTGTATAGAAACCTCGACACAGGTGTAAATCCAACTTTACCTGAGTTTATCAATATTGTTATCTAATGATGGATTTTTTTTTAGATGTGACAAAAAAAAAAGTAGTCACTGTAAATGTTTGTCCAATAGGAGGAGAAGATGGTGGTATTCGAGGTACGTGCTCGGTTCGGGGTGTTTGCAGGTCCAAAGCTGATCAACATGGATGCCCTTTACACCCGTATGGAGACCATGAAGGGTCTGAGAGACTTCTTCACCTTTACTAACCTCAGACTGAGACTCCTCCGCCCAGCACTTGGAGGGACCTATGTCCAGCGAGACAATCTTCTGAAATACTTCTATGCTATTTCCAACATTGACGTACCTGCCAGGTAATATCAATGTATGTTCAGAGATACTATCTTGTCTCACACAAGCTCTTTTTGTGTGGGGGCAGACACCTGACAATATGTTCTCACTCTTTCCTCAATAAATTCAGCCTCTAGGACAGTGGTGAAACAGTTCTCTAGCTCACTGTTTTGCTTTGCATTGAAGACAGGAAATGTATTATGAAAAGTCATAAAACCTGAGGTTTAAGTCATGTAGCATACATTTGTTGTGAAACACTTTGTATGTTTGTACATGACCACATAGGAACAATCGTTATGTTACTTACATTAGTACTTTTTTAAACCCATACCAGGACATTTTTCTATAAATCTATCCAAGTAGTTTTGGTACCTTAACCCAACCAAATCCACAATGGTTTCATGTCGTTATCATTATACAAAAAAG